GCAAACGTTCACCGGACAGCTCAGATATATTTTGAGTTTATGATCGAAAGAACAAATTCATTACGCATCCTTCATTTCCTTTAATGTTTCAGTTGTGTTTTACCAGAAAATCGCATCCGAATATATTACATATCTGCCTTAAGGAATGAACCCCTTTTATAATTCAGGGCCCGTGCATTGAAACTTTGTACAGGTATTTTTACATGACAGTGCGTGACGTACTTGTCGCTTGAGATGCAGGTTGTAATTTCATTCTGAAGATTTTCCTGATTTAAGTTGTCCGATTAGGCTGAATGCAGCGATGTCATAATCTAGCACATTAATCCAGAGGGGCTAAGTGGGTTTGGTTTGTTGTTTACGCCGAACGCAGCAATATTCCAACTATATGGCGGCGCTCTGTAAATAATCGAGTTTAGATCCGCCAATCCAGTGATCAACAGCATGAACATCGATCTACGCAATTACGTTGACATCTAAGGTAACAGAGGATATTCTAACTTCACCAGTTCTATGCTTCACTCTGACAGTGGCAGTTCAGAATCCTGGTGGGACCCAACCCCCAAAAGTACTGGAATCTGTTCTTTATGGAGAAAGTGTAATCCCCAATATAACATATGGCACGTTTGACTCTCACATTTGAATCAAACTGACTCTGTCATAATCTGGCACATTACTGTAGGGGCTAGAGTTTGTTTGGTTTTGTTGTTGTTTTAACGCCGCACTCCAGCAATATTCCAGCTATATGGCGGCGCTCTGTAAATAATCGAGTCTTGACCAGACAATCCAGTTGACATCAGCATGAGCATCGATCACCGCAATTCGGATACGATAACATGTTTCAACCGCTGTATTGCGGTGTTAAACAACCAACCAAGCATTCAGATGTACATTACTTACCTAAATAATGCATATGATTCAAGGCTGTTGGGACATAGATGGGCTCTGTCATAAGTTTTTGTGTGCATTCAGATGTACATTCTCCTCTGAACGTGACCTCTGATTGTCCAGGGGGGATTGCTAGGTTCATCTGACCGAGTGACAAAATTGAGCCATTATTTTTTCGTAAGTTGGGGGTGTAAAAGATCGTCATTCCTGAACTGTCCTTCCAGCCTGACACTTCGTTCGGGTTGTTCCAGTGAAACTGAGAAAGAATGGAAATGAAAATAATACACAGTGGTGGAGAGTGAGTGAGTGAGTGAGTTTTTATTCCACATTTAGCACTGTGGGGGACACCTGAAATGAGCTTCACACATTGTACCCATGTGGGGAATCGAACCCGGGTCTTCGGCGTGACGAGACAACGCTTTAACCACTAGGCTACCCCACCACCCCGAAACTGAAGAAGAGTGGATATGACAATAATACCAAGGTGGGGTGGGGATGGGGGAGTGTTGTTGCTAAAAATTGAAAAGAAAAATATGATGTGATGGGTTTGTATCGGTACTCGCGTTGGAATATTTGTTGGCAAGGTTGGAAAGAACTTGTTATGTAATAGACTGGTATACGTGTATCTTGGCAAGGTTGGAAAGAACTTGTTATGTAATAGACTGGTATAAGTGTATCTTGGCAAGGATGGAAAGAACTTGTGATGTGAGAGACTGGTATCTGTGTATCTTGGCAAGGTGGGAAAGAACTTGTGATGTAATAGACTGGTATACGTGTATCTTGGCAAGGTTGGAAAGAACTTGTTATATACTGAGTCAAAAGAAACTTCACATTCTTTCTTCAGGGCACTATAAAGAACAAGAGATGGTAAGATGGTTAAATTGTTATTATTTCATTGCTGAGATCTGTGTGATGTACTCGATACACTGACAGTGCCATAATCAGTTCCATTAGGCTACACCGCCGTTCCAAAACATGGGTATACAGAATGTCAAGTCACAAGAATAAAAATGCGAAATTTCTCAGTTCAATATCGTGTATGGCCGCCCGCCTCATTCACCACTGCCAAACACCGTCTCCTCATCGACTGCCTGATGCTTGTGAACACGTGGTTGGGGATTCTGCGCCATTGCTCTTGCAAGGCAGCGCCAAGTTCCTGCAAATTCTGAGGTTGGTTCCTAAGACCACGAAGCCTTCTCCCAAGTGCATCCCAAACGTGCTCTATTGGATTAAGGTCAGGGGACCTCGATGGCCAGTCCATGACGTTGATTCCAGCGTTTTGAAGGAAATTTCGTGTCAACATCGCGGTATGCGGCCGAGCATTATCATGCTGGAACTGTAGACCTGGGCCATGAGCCGCCATGAAGGAACGAGTTCAGGGGTGAGCACCTGGTCGCGGTAAGCAGCAGCTGTGAGGTTTCCACGGATGACCAGAAGTCAGGAACGGTTGTTCCCACAGAAAGCACCCCACACCATGCAACTTCCGCCCCCGAATCTGTCGACTTCCTGTACACAACATTGGGCATACCGTTCACGACGTCGTCTCCAGACTCTATGCCTGCCGTCCGCGAATCTGAGGGTAAACCTGGATTCATCGCTAAAGACGACTCGATTCCAGTCTCTCTGGGTCCATCGGAGGTGACGTTGGGCCCACAGCAGACGTTGACGTTGATGAAACGGCGTCAATATTGGCCCACGATATGGACGTCGAGAATGGAGATTGGCAGCCCGCAACCGATTTCAGAATGGTCTGTGAGGACAGTCGACCTCTAAACATCTCAGCCCTGGTTCGTGTAGCCGGCAGAAATCTGTCACGTAGGTGACGTAGGACGATTGACGGTCTTCTGCTCGTGACGTCACGTGGACGACCCGACCTTGGGCGATCAGAAGTGGTGCCAGTTTGTTGTAGACGACCTCACAAGTCATACACAGTACGACGGCTGCATCCCATTGCTCTTGCGACGTCAATAACTGATCTTCCCGCTTGCAACATGCCAACGGCACGTTCACGTTGCACATTTGACAATCGTGGCATTTCAAGTACCGTTAGAACTGTGGTTTAAAAGTGTTTTTTCAATTCTTGAGGCCAATGCAAACACGTGCATATGAAGAAAACTTCGATGCGAAGATCACGTGATCGACTGCACGTGCAAAACCTGATTTGGCACTAACGTCATTTGCACGACAAATGGATGGGTTTGAGTGGGTTTTGCTAACGTTTTTCTAGAGTCGAAAGATAGGGATCCCATTTCGGATACATAGATGTATCATCAGAGAAACATTATTCATTATTTTTCAAATTACATTTTGTGAAGTTTCTTTTTGACTCAGTTTATATGACATCCATACCACATTTGTATGGTTCTGTTGGTAGTTCCTCTGCAAACAAAGATAGATATATATACATGTATACAGCTCACCATTTTTAAGGAAGGTAATATTTCTGTACCTTTGCTGTTTCACTCACAGCCACACTCAGCATCAGGACCCAATGGTTGATATAATGAGCAACGATGAATCATCGGAGAACGATGAAACAATATAACGACGTTGCCGACGCTGGCCACCCGATCTTTTATGTCGTCACTTACGGTCATTATGATTAACCTGAATTCCCAGACATTGCAAATCATAAAGAAAATGTTCCCATGTTATAATCATCACTGCATTGAATACACTGGATTTGGTTTCAGTTGAAAGACTGGTTCGACGCACCTGATGTGTCAGAGCAGCCGTAGACTACGACGTGATGCATGACGTTTTCGTTGTCGATGAGAGGCTTGCTTCCAATGTAGTGGTAGTCCTGGTCAGAGGGGACGTCGAAGATCATGCAGATGTAGGTGGTGTCCTCGGCGGGCACGTCGGTTTCGGGGAAACGGATTGTGAAGTTCCTCACATCTGTGAAGGATGAGATGACGACTTAAGAACGACACTATGTGCATTATTTGGGTAGGTATTAGAGTGAGTGAGGTTCATCATATTTTTTGAAGGCTGAATGAATGAATGAATGAATGAATAAATGAATGAATGAATGAGCATACTTACTTGGCGGGTCCAAATATACAACATACCCTTTCGTTTCACACTTAAATCATGACGTGTAAACGATGAAAGCATTACACATATATTCTGGAATGCAACTGAACGATTTACCTGGTGCGTTGAGAGCATCGCACTCCAGTTCTGACCCTTTACACGAAACCCACGCATTCTTCGCTTGACAGGCAGGGGAGCCAAAAGGGTCACACACACCTGGAATATATAGAAGGTCGTTCTCCATAAACCGAACTAGTATTGTATGAACGTGTGCACATGCACATACGATGAGTTCTATTTTTGGGTGCTATAGATTCCGTACATCGACGCTTAATCAAACGTTCATCAAATGGCTTGAAGTGAGTTATTCAGTCCTCAGCTGATAGTAATGTAGATTTAATGATCCTAGTAACTTGAAGCGATTTTAAAAGGCAATCATTTTTCAAAGTCAATGTTTAAATTAGTCAAACACTTGCGAAAAAAAGGTTCAATAGTTGTATTTATCATTGTGCGAACATGACAATTGCACCGACGATGAGCGGATCCTGGTATCATCTAAGGGACGAGATATATATTCTTAAAGACCACAGGATAGTTCCTTGCGTGATCAGGACTATGGAATCCTAGAAGGGACATTGTCGCGTTGTCGCACTGACAAAAACAAGCAAAAAGTGGCAAAATTTGCGACAATGCAACCTCGCGACATTTTGGTCCATTTGTCGCTGTTTGAAGAATATTTTCAATTCAACCATAGAGCGACTATGCGACATAATGACAGGTTACAAATATGTCGCATTGTCGATTCGTCGCCCTAACTAAGTTGTGTTAAAATATGCATTTTTGCGACACGGGATAAAGTCCCTTCTAGGATTCCATACAGGACTGTTTTATTTACGCCTCAGTAATATCCCCGCCATATCACGGTCACCAATTTGAACCCCTAATTGGGTGCCACTGATTAAGGTACCGCTGATTAAGGTTCCACTGATTGATCCACTTACCCTTGACACATTCCTCATTTCCAAAACAAGCAACTGCATGTCAATACGGATGAAATCAATGTGATTTCTATTGTATACCTGGGTGAGTAATGTCGGTTGTCCGTGAGGGGAGATTACCACTGTCTGCAGTCCACACGCAGTTCGGGTCACCCAGCTCTTGGCCGTTGGTCATACCGTCACCATCAGAATCTAAACGGCACAAATCTTGTGTCCACTTAAACAGAATAAAACCATTGTGAACAAACAGAAACGTCAAGGTACATTTTGCGACTGATGGTCACGAGACGATTAAAGTTTTCTCAAACACAGATCCCTGGTCTTAAAATGTGTTACCACATAAGGATATGAATAGTTTGCTCAAACGTAAACATATGACACATCTGTCTTAAACTGTGTTGAGAAATAAGGATGTGAATAGTTTGCTGAAAAGTTTTAAACATAGGGCGCATCAGTTTTAATATGTGTTGAGGGCATAAACATTTTGCTCAGACGGTTTAAGGGGCGGTGGGGTAGTCAAGTGGTTAAGGCGTTCGCTCGTCACGTCGAAGACCCGGGTTTGAGTCCCCACATGGGTACAATGTGTGAAGCCCATTTCTGGTAGTACCCCGCCGTGATATTGCTGTAATATTGCTAAACTATGAAACTAAACTCACTCCTCGAATCCCATCACGGATATGGAGATATTATGACAAATGTCTCACAAAATAGATACATATTAAATATATATACCATGTGACCTTGAGAAGCGAAGTCTTTGCCAAAGTCGTTTCGGTTTCCTCCACCAAGAGCGTTGATGTGACCCACGCCATGCCAGTAGAA